TAATCAACACTAGCCACTCGTACAATGAATGACTCATTGCTGGAGCTGGTCAGTGTTATATTAGTATTGCTTGTAAAAAGAGATGGGAAGTTCATATAAGGAGAATCAAAAGTGTACTCGTTAACACAGCTGTGATTTATTGGGCGATCCCATGAAAGAAGAAACTGAGTTTGTGTGAATGAGGAAGCAGTGATATTCAAAGGAGGAGATGGAGGTCCTAAAATTAGAATAAAATGTATTTAAAAAATATGCAGCATGATGATTTGTAATATCATGCAAGGTTTACCATAAAATTTTATGTCTTTCATAGTAGAGATTGAGCTGATGTTATTAATACACTGGATCACATAGTTTTCATGGCTCTGGTTGGTGTGAATTGAAGAAATACCTTTAACTAAAGTAGTCAAATCTATAAAATAATTTTACTGGTCGTATTTTAAGCAGAATTTTGACCCAAAGAACTCGTGCTCTTTTCATCTCCATTGCCCCTGCTCCCAATGTTTCATTTCTCCTCCTACCCCTAATTTTAGTAACTAATTTAAATCTTATTATTTTATTGTAACTACTTTATATTTTAATGCGGCTGCCTGGGCATGCACATGTCCCAGGTTGACCACCAGCACTAAATTCCACCACAGACACTTTATTCCACCAGCTTGAATTTCCTGCTTTTATCTTGTTCTATTAATTTTGTCAGTGCTGGAAAGTTATTTAATAATAATAATAATAATAATAATAATAATAATAATAATAATAATAATAATAGTCCGTCCATGGTAACGCTCTTAATGAATAATAATTAAATTTTGACGCAGACTAGATTGTAATTAATCAATGGCGGATGCCATGTTCCAGACAGAAAATATAGATAGCATTGCTTTTGCCCTTTTCAGACAGTATATCTTAGCGTTTTGAATTCATTTGCTAAAATAGTACACGTATAATAGGCTAAAGGTGATTATTGTTATTTTTATTTCTCAAATGACTCGTGACTGTATTCATACTTCATACTAGTTCACTCACGTGACTGGACTAGTAGATATTAGTTGACGCCCCGCTTTTTTTGTTTTGCGTTTGCAGCTAAATCTATGACAATGAGATTTCTCGGTATTTTGGTACTTTCTTTGGCTTTGTTTTACTATGCGGATGCTCAAAGTGAGGGGAAATATAATATTAAATAAATATTGCAAATTTATTATATCTGTCTACTGCAAATGTCAAATTAATTTTAGTTTGTATGGGGAGATATCGGAGCGCCAATTTGTCAGTATGATCTGGGGTGCAGATCATTTGTAAGATTATTGTAAAGATCATGATTGTAATGTATGATCATAGATATTAGAGACTACGCTTTATCTTAGTCTTGCCCCAATCATACATAGTCTCTAATATCTATGGTTTGATAATTTGTATGTTCACTTCTATATATACATGTTGTATTAGAGAAATACAATGGTAAGACACCTTAGCAACCACTCGTCTATGCATTTTATGTGAAGTGGGTGTGGCCACAAAAACGAAAATTAATGGCTAAATTTAAATGCAAAAAATGGTAAATATTGTATACTGAATGTATTGAATGTATAAAGACTTCAAGAAGACAGCTTACATGCAGCTATGTGTGCAAGATGGTGAAACATCTTGGAACATTTTACACTAGATCACATACAATAGCCTTTTTTGCTTTGTTAATAAAGAATTATAGTTCATGAGCTACCGTATAGGGGGAAAGTTTAGAAGGAGTTAAATTTGGCAAATTTGGCCACCATGGCCACAAGTTTGCCAAATTAAAATCTGTCAATCACCAAAATTTAGCATTTCATCAAATTTGCCTACCTCTAAAATTTCCTGCTATACAGTACACCATAGGATGTCAAGCAATTAGACTTGTTAGAAATTGATTCACCTCACCAACTTATTCCTTTCATTCTCTACAGTTTTTTATAAAATTATTTTTACATTCAACAGCACGTGGAACTGTTAGACTAGTGAGAAATGGAGTTTTTTCACACACCTATTCATCTGGAATAGTTCAGATCTATTACAGTGCAAATTCCTCCAGTATACTCAGTTGGGGCAATATTTGTGATGATGCTTCATTTGGTGATAATGAAGCTAGTGTCATTTGTAACCAGTTGGCGTATAATGGAGCATCAACCTATGGTAGAGCTTGTAGCACATCAAGGTAAAGCTCTCACAAACTGCATATGGTACAAAAGCATGTGGCTAAATTTAGTACGCTAATCAAAAAAATCAAGTTCAAGATGGAAAAGCTAAAGTTAAGAGGACAAATACTTCTTCTGCCCTGGCCCTAAAAGAAACCCAGACAGTTATTGCATGCATAATGTAGTGATAATTTTTGCAACAAACAATTAAACTACTATAATGTTTTTACATACTACATAGTTTTGGAACTGACAACAATGCTACCATTCTTGATGAAGTCAGTTGTTCTAGTAGTAGCTTACTAACTCTGCAGCAGTGTTCTGTTACTACAACTATTTCAAGCGCTTGCTTCCTTAATTCAAATGATGTTTTTGTAGTTTGCTGTAAGTTAATAAATCCTATATTAATTGACTTTTTATACCCAGTATCTAGCACAAACATTACTGGTTAATATTGTAGCCTCTTTTTTGTATTTGTTATTTACTAGATACTACTAGAATCTGGAATAATCCTTATCCTGGACAGATTCGTCTAGTAGGAGGTATCCATACAAGCTATGGTAGACTGGAAGTATATTGTAATGGACTGTGGGGTACAGTATGTGATGATAGCTTTGATCCAACCGATGCTAAAGTTGTTTGTCGTCAATTAGGATACAGCGATTCTATACTAGCTCATTCTGGAGCCGTAACGTTAGTGTCAAATTTATTTTATTCGAGCTATTCTTAGAAATTAGCCTATTATTATGAACATATTTTATTATAGAGCTGGGTCTACCTCTCAACCAATTTGGCTGGACAGGGTTTTTTGTAGCAGTTCATACTCTTGTCTTGCTACTTGTGAATCTTGTCCCGCTATGCAATATCATAACTGTATTCATAGTAAAGATGTTGCAGTTGCATGTGGTCAGCTCCTTTATCTTTATTTCAGTGATAAATTTAATATTTTTAGAATTTGACTCCACTGAAACAGCTTCAAGTAATATACTAAGCACCTGCAGTACAGGTATGTAATAGAATAAACACAATTCTATTACATTTATCTCTAATAGCCTCCACTAGTGGCACTACTAATACCACCCCTGGCATTGTAGGACTAATTCTTGGAGTAGTCGCAGTTGTTGGGACTATACTTACTTAATTAACACTTTGGACTGCTGTTAGATTATAATTTGGCTTAGCTGCTGTGATGCTACATAATGTGATGTAATGCATATGCTGTTATAGAATCTGTTTGCTATATTTTTCCTGGACTTTTACCAATTTTATTTTTTATGATGCTATTGCTGATTAATTGAGTGCTATAAACTTATTGCAAGAGCAAAACCTTTCAACAGTAGTTGCAGCAATTGTTTCAGTGCATCATATGCTGTAAGCTGTATTATTAGGATATCCTGCTTAGCCTGGCTATTTACTACAAGAGGGATATGTATATCCACTACAAGGCTATGAAGCTCAACCACCACCAGCCTCTGTAGTGACTAAGATTGCTTGTATACTTTGATTAGAACTTAGTGCACCATAGTTCATTTGTTTGTTATATAGATCTAAACATTTTGACTTTACAAGTGCTTGGTTTCAGAGTTACTACTGCAAGTTGAATTGTGATTGTGTCACATTTGCTTTACTTGTAGAAATGAGCTCACAATATAGATC